TATCAGGACTAGGCAGAGTACAAATGAATGCTTGAAGGCAGATGTCCAACAAGCGAACAATACTTTATGGCCAAAATGTTGCTAACCAACAAACCAGAATTAAGTTCTCATTAAAACGATCGAATCAATTTTGCAATCGTCCCACAGCTTTCACTAATATTTACGAAGATGTGTATTCATTGCCAGTGTACGCAAAAACACCTTTATTAGCAGCAGATCAAGTTTAGATTGGTCTTTGTCTATAACAGGCACATTTGTCTGCCTAAAAATATGTCCTTCATTAGTCACATGTTGGGCAGTACCGAAGTTGTAAGCATGTCCAGTGCGGACTGCAGAAGGGTGCTGTTTTATCATGATGTTCAATTTCCGGCTTGTCTTTTTTTTTGTATTGTATTCCAATGTACACATTCATTTTCTGAATTGATTCGGTTTTCTGAATTGATGAACGAATCACCGAACAAAAAACAAATCGGCCCGACCTGACACTGCATCGACTGTGATTCTCATACTCCGATATCAACAAATCTAGAATTGTTCTCATAAATCGGCTTTGCTCCCTAAACAAGTGTATAAAGTACGAAAATTTCTACGTTCCAGATCATACCTGATACATTTATTCCAGTAAAAGACTATCACCATGTTTCTTCTTGGCTGTTAGTTTTTGACAGCAGTTTACGTGTTTCTAGCGTCTGATGGATCAGGTAATTCGATACAGCTTATTTTAAGTTCGGTGTATAAAGTTTCGATGTTGCACATTTGGTAAATTTTTTGTATCGGTTTTTTCAGAGATGAGCTGTCTTCAAGAACCACCTCCCGGCTTAAGCGGCGAAAACGTCGATTCGGCAATGCTACGAGGCGGTTTGCCCTTTCCGACTCCAATCGGCGGCGAACGAAAAATCAAAGGGCCAATCGGATGCAGCTCTGGCGTTGCCAACATGTTTACTTCCAGTGAAAAGTGGGGCACGCCTGCAAGTTTTGAAAACGGTTACAACGGTATATTTGTTGTCTGTCGAAGTTTATATCTATCTGCTTGTGGCTGTCCTTTCAGCACAGATCCTGGTTCAACTTTTAATAGGTTGTAACAGGCCATTTATTATGAGATTTTTCTCAACAAATACAAGTGCAAAGACAGTCACGGCAGAATGAACTTAATGTCTTCTGCGAGTAAGATGTTCTGCATAATTCCTAGAGTCCTAAACTGGGGTATTGAAACAAGACATAAAGACATTATAATGATGCGTCGCTAAATAGTCTCTCACTTGATACGCTGCTCATATCTCATTATTCTTGCGAACAGCGGTATTTGTGAGGCCAAAACCACTTATTTTAACTTGAATAATGCGGTGCTAGGGTCTAGTAGGATAGTATGACCGAAGATACAAATCATCACGTCAAGCAGTCTGCCGTTTTATACACTGAACGTTTTGCGATGTGTATTTTAACCGATTTTGTATTCCGCTTCAACATTGTTCCTAATGTGAGGCACTAGAAGAAAACTTTCGAATATGACCAAAGGAAGGAAGACA